ATAATTATTTCTCTTATAGATGGGAACAAAAAGAAATCATAAAATATTTAATTTTAATTAAAAAAAGAATTATTGTCATTAACTTATAAATGAGCACGCCGCTGTTGTGATAAACATACCTTCAACCTTGAGCGAGATCTTTCGGACACTCGATTCTATAGCGAGAATAGGGGACTGCATCACGGTTCCTAGACTTACTCCGGTTGCCTCTTCCGACTGGGGTGGGGATGCTTGAGTTACGTCACAGGAATACACAAGAATACAGAACTCTTATTGCGATTGAAACTGAATGTAGAGGGCAGGTCGATTGCAGTGTCATGGCCGATATAAATGGTATAAACAAAAACAAACATAACATTCGAATATTTACCATTGCTTTTCCATTTCCATGTTTAGTTTGGTTTAAGACGAGTTATTTGTATCATTTAATAATGGAAATTAACCTTAATGATATCTTTGAGTATTGTGGTGAAGCAAAGAGTCCATTGGTTGAAGGGGAAGCAGTTTTCAAGTGATGAATTCCTAAATTTTAACTTTAATGTTTGGAACTGGCTTGTGTATTGATGATGAATCCTATTTTGTGTATACCTGGGAACCCAGAATATAATATTCTGTGTAATGTTTGCCTTAACGTATATATGCATTATTATATCTTATGTTTTTAATATGTTAATTTTTATTTTATACTATTTTTTGACATATGTAAGTACTTTATTGTATATTAACATAAATAAATAACTTTAACTTGGCTTTATTGTAAAATAGTTCATTTGATTACATGAAATTAACCTTAACTTGAGATCACCTCTCAGAAAATATAGCACATGATTTGTCTTTAAAAAATTGCATAATAAATTATTTTTTTATATAATAATTGCATAATAAATTAGTTTTTCAGTTTATTCTAGATTGGATTTAAAATACTTTAACGTAGTCATAATGCTGAAATTTACTAAAATAATTAATAATTATATTCAAATCAACAGCTGTCTGGTTTGTTTATACCACTTTTATGCCTGGTATTGCGGTATTATAAAACATTTTACTTGCTAAGTAAAATTTAGTTTGAAAGTAAAATAATTTACTCTGCAGATTTGCGTATTTTAAACACATAGTAAATTAATTCTGGAAGTAAATCTGCAAACTAAACTATTCCTTAGTTTTCTACCAAGTAAATTTTATTTAACAAGTAAATATGACAGTTTCAATGTCTTTTCGGCTGGTGTGAAAATATTTAGATTTAATAATATTTTGAAATGTCTTCAGTATCATCAGTGTCAGATGTTAATTCTCCAACTGTATCTAGTGTTGATAGTGACTGGTATTTTTCAATAAATATACAGATGGATTGTGATGCAAATTTAAATGTAATCAATGTAGTTGCTAGATGGCCTGGTTACTCCCACAATAGTCATGTATTTGATAATTCTCTGATAAGAGCTCAGTTTGAAAACAATGAGTTTTGTGAAACATATTTACTGGGTGATAGTGGTTATCTATGCCGAAAATATATTTTAACTCCCTTACATGATCCACAAACGCCAGCTGAAAGGAAATACAATTATACACATATCCACACACAGAATACAATTGAAAGAATGTTTGGTGTCTTAAAGAGAAGGTTTCCTTGTTTGTCTACGGGACCAATGGAATAGAAACACCACTAAATTGATAGAAATAAAATCTTCCGTCCTTCCATGATACTTCAGGCCTTCAAAGCGACAACATCAAATCCCAATAAGAAGTCTCAGATTAGGACACACCTCTACAACACATGAAGACTTGTTGAAGAGAGAAAAGTGTGTTATGTTTGTGAATATAAAGTGATAATGAAGCACATACAGTTGCAAGACTATATCACCTCATTCCAAAATGTAAAGAGTGTCTAGTCAGTGTAAATAGAGCTATTCCAATTATAGTGGCAATTTGTGTATTGCATAATATATGTAGAAGGAGGAATGATGTGCTGACTGATAGTGAAGATGGCAGTAATCACGCGGAGTCAGAAGATAAAAATTTAAACAAGGTCACTAGAAATCAAGATAATTTTGCTGTAAGAAATGCTGTCATTCGTACTGCATTTATTAATTAAATAAAATGTTTATTTTAAAATTATTTACGGTTCAATAAAACATAATATAAGAATTATGAGTGTTTTAATTATTGTATATGTATTTTTAATTTAACAAAAAAAGTGTTGACAATTCAAATAGTCACAGAAATAAAATTAACTTAATTGTGTCAACTTTTTCTTATTAAACTCTGGTAATAAATCTATGAAACAAACTAAATATAACACCAGTAACTTAATGAATATGATATTTATGATACTATAATGAACATGTATTTTTATTACAGAATTTTTCTACAATAAATACATACTTATAAGAAAGTGTTTATACCCACTTTTAACAGATAACTTTGTGAAAAATAGGCAAAATGTTACGGGATCTATTAGTATTTCATTTATCTATAATATTCTCAAGCGATACATTGTCATTTCAAGGAAGTCATGAAAATAAGATCATATCAGCAAGTAGATACATAATCCTTTCATTTTACGGTATTTGAAAAACAAAGTATGTACATATATTTCAGTTTCATTGTTCAGTTTTTTGTGTTTATTATTATTCTTGAGTAAAGTGTTTGATTTTAAGACGGCAAAATGGAATTTGTGTTGTAAAAATATTAGATGAAATAAGCATTCCTTAACTTTTCCAGAGGACACAGCAAGGTTTGTAAATTATTATTTCCTCTTAAATATTGTTTGGGTACCAGTATATGATGTCATTTATATGATACTTCTACAATAATAAGATAACCAATTTTTATTTTAATAACTAATTTACAATAATATAAAATTAACCAAACGGTATTAAATTTCTAAATTCTCGAACTCAACCCCATATTGATGTTTCAGTTGTAGAATCTTTTCTTTAACTGCCAACTCTTTTGTGTCTGTTTCTCTTTTCTCTGTTTCTGTTTTTCTAATTTTAAAACGTCTCTACTTAACTCTTCCTTTTCTTTTCTAATTTTAAGAATACTTAATTTTATTTTTTCCTTCTCTGAATCTTCTTCACACTTATTATTCTTTTTGTGATGTGGGACTTAAAGGCAAACTAAATGCACGACCAAATACTTACCATGTCGAGATAGCATTATGGGGTTTTTTCCTGGTTTTTCCCTCATAATTTACTATGGAATCACTAACAGGAGAATTTTACTGTCATCATGGCATGTGTTTGTCTTTTTAAAGATGAATTACATGCTATGATTTTTTTCTGACAGATATTCTCAAGTTAATGTTGATTTCATGTAATGGAATGAACTATCTTATAAGTAAAGTCGTTCCAAGAGCACAACTCAACAATATTGGCAATATCATTTTAAAGTCGTCTACTTTAAAATGCATAATGTATGTCTGAATTGTCAATATAAATGAGTCAGATAAAATTAAATTATTAGAAGAATTTTTCACTAAGTAACAAAAAAACAAAATTTGTTTTTAGTGTTTGTATTTTGAGAACAATTTCTGAAGTGGAAATTGAAATGTTAATAAACATATTTTAACCTTTAATTGGGGCTTATTCCCAGTTAAATAGTAATTAATTTAAAATGCCACAAGAAAAATAGCTTCAGAACAACATTAATTACATATGTTTTACCTTTCTGTTACTGCTTGGCATTTTGCAGGGGTGACAAGAAATTTAACATATCTTGGCAACAGATGTTCTACCATCGCATCAGTTACTTCTGTCAATACTTTACTAAAAGTGGACCTTTCCATGGTAAAAAAAAATAAAATATAGTATATAATAAAATAAAAAGTAAATAAAATATAACATATTGGAATATATTCACTCAATTCTTAATATAAACAACATATCTTGGTTTCATGTGCTAAAGCATTTGATCTTTGCACTTGTCTTAGATGGGGCTGGAGACTTTCGAACCAAATGCAAAGACAATTCCCTCGATAACTTAAATATCTTTTAAAATACGGCTTCCACTAATTCCACTGGATTTACCAAATCTCGCAAAAGTCTTCTCTGAATGTTTTCTTCATCCCTATCAATAAAATAATTTTGTTTACAAAACATAACCTAAATAAATAATATACTATCAAAGAATATAGACGCTTATAAGCGTCTATATTCTTTGATACTATAATTAAAATATCTTTAACAAACCTTCTAATAGCATCATCTAATTCTTCTAATAACTCATCGTTTAGAATCCGGCCAAAATTCTGGACTAAATAATTCATTTTATATTTTTATTAACTACACGTTATTCCCATCTACAAATAGTATGAGATTAAATCATCTCTTTAAATTGAACCTGTTATCAGAGAATATAATATATTATGTTAGCAAGATAACGTAAAACGTTACCACATAACGTTTTTTTTTACAAACGTTATCTGTGATACATGATCATGATACATGATACATCACATCATTTATTTTATATTTATAAAACATTTTTGTTTTTGATACATCCATCCAATCACAGGGCTGATTTTTAAGATTCAAACTACGTCACAGGAATACAGTTCAGCTTAATGTTCATTGGTTAGGCGGAAGAGGCAACCGGAGTAAGTCTAGGAACCGTGGGACTGCATAGTCTATATATTATACGTCATTGGTATAAAACAACAATTTTTTTATATCAATGTTATTATATTAGGCAACTATCAATACACCCCATAATATGATTCAGAATTAGGCAACCATATATACATTTATTCCAATCTAGGGATTTCTAGGGATATTTAAATGTTCAATTTAGGGAGAACAAAAATTTTCACCTGGCAACCCTGGTTGTGATTAGTATTCTGTGCTGATGTAGAATTCTATCAGTATCATGATTGTTCTGTATCTGTTTTCTGTTCAATTTGTTTCAATTTCAATTGAAATAACTAACAAAACAATAAAAGTGTACTAATTGTAAAAATACATTTTTGGCTATTGGAACCAGTTATTTGGTTTAAATTCGAAATGGAGTTGAGTGAAGATTTTATAAAAAGAAAACAAAATGTTTTAATATCTGACAAAAATGAAGATTCTTTAGAGCACCATGTTAACATACAAATTAAATCAGAAGTCGAAGAATGCATGTTTGAGTCCATGTTTGAAAGTAATTACACAGATGGTTCTATATCAGATTGTTCGACCGATATTAAAATAGAAGAACACGTGTTACATCATGAAATAAGTGACCCATTCCCTGCCATTACCATGCAAGAAGTTAAAACAGAAATCAAAAAAGAACTCCTTGAATATAATTTAGAAGTAAACCATGGGTGTGGTACTATATTTAAAAGTAATAATATGAAAAATTTAGACTCAGAGAGAGATGCAACATTCCAGATAGGAGCCTCAAAGGAGATAGATCATGAAAAACCTTGTAAGTATGAAAACAGCAAAATTACTGTTTAACATTGACAAAAAAGTAAGTTTTAGTTTATGTATTGAGTGAATTTAAAATGTATACTTATATCAATTTTGCTTCTGTTACTGGTTATTCATTTTTATATGTTTTGCATTTGAAAGAAATAGTTTCCTTACTCCTCACATGGATTACCATGAAATGGTAAAATTGTGGACAGTGGTTAAAAAACATTTACAAGGTTTTAAGTTTAAGTATCTATCTCAGAAACATATTTGCAAAAATCACCAAAGTTTAGCAAATTTTCTTAAAATGTCTGTTTTGTTGTATAAAAAATTACGTTTATACAATTTTAGGCTTGTGTTTAGTAGATTGGTTTATAAATTTGCCAAGTAAATAATATAATATCAATGGTTGAAAGGTAAAAGATTGTAACCCACAAAATAACTTTTTTCAGGAAGTAGAAATAACATTCCATTTAAGTAGATTTACTAGGAATGAACCTAATAATTTTTTATGGTAATCTAGAAATAAATTACGATTTAGTTGTACAAAAGGTTTTAACAGAAATATTACAGTTTTTAACAAAAAAAAAACTAATTTGTGGCTTACAACATACTTGTACATCTCTCCAGATTCCATGTGGGATACAACATTTTTGAAATAGAGTACATCTTTCGGTTATTTAAAACTTTTGTATTTTTAATAGTAAAAAAATCAAACATTTTTATTCATCGTTAAACTTCAGCAAAATACAAGAATCAATTATTATAAAATAATTAATTTTCTGAATCTGTTGACTTAGCAATAACATCCATTTTCAATGTACTGGCAGGTATTTCAAGGTATTCTTTGTGATATCTTAAAGGAATTATCTTTTTTGAACATGATGCAGCTAAATCCTTTTTTTGCAGCACTTAAGGGCAGTCTTGAGGTATAAACATTCTTTACCATATTAGAAGAAATATGCCTGACTTGTTGGACACATACTGTTTTAGGAGTTTCAGTGGAGTCATAAGTATTGTACAATAAAATGTGGGAGTTGTTTTTCGTTATAATCACCCTTCATACAATATGAATCTGACAGGCTTCACTTATACTTTCTTCATGCACTGATTTCCAATTTTGAAAGTCCTTGTAAATAAGTATGCATAGAACATTATATATAAATATGCATTATGAAATGCATAGAACTTGCTTTTTATTTTGTCTATGGCAACTGTCACAAAAAAAAAACAATATTATCTTCACCTCAGGACTTCGGATCTCTGTATCTTTTAGATAATTAAATACATTGGAGCATATTTCATTAGATCTCCTCTTGCCATCATATTCGCCCCATAAATAACAGAATCCATTACATGTCCCACTTTCGTATAATGTAAAATTATACATTGAGTATTTCCTTGAATAATATAGAAGCATGTTGTCACCATGAAGAGTATTCATAACTTTTTGAAGGTCAAAGGAAACACATAAAAAGTTTGAATCTGTTTTAAATCTTATTTGATGTGTTTTGAACAGAGCCAGCAACAATTTTTTTTTCATGTTTATGAGATGCAAAACATTCTGATTGCATATCACTCTTCTTGCTTCCTCCACATATTGCACACTTATCTTTTTTTGGAATATGGATCCCAATATTGTAGTCACTAAAAATACTTCAAGACACTCTATCTGTCACAGGTGTTATCTTTTCTTGCTGACAAAAACCTTTTTTTATAGATTCTATAAATATTAGATTTATTTTTGTACTCTGATGGAAGAAATAGCCTGTTGGAATCATTTCTACAATAATGTGATGGAACAGTTGGTAATTATTCAATGAAAATTTTAACCTTTAACTCATCTTTATCTTTGGTTTTATTGGCCTTTTTTCCTCTCATATCTGGTTTGGGAGTGTGTATATCAGATTTCTTTTCAAATGTATACTACAAAATTTTGTGAGACACATCCAAAGTTTTTAAAAGAAACTGAAAACAAACTTTTACCTTTTCATTGTCAAGTGGTAGATAATATTTGAAAGTACAGCCCCTTAATATAAGTTATAGCTTTTGGCGATTCAGGCAAACAAGATAGTATAAAATGTCTCTTACCTTCATTACTAAGAGACCAGTAATCCTTAAAAAGTGTTGCTCTTCTTTCTTCATCAAAGTTTAACTTACAAAGGTTTGGGCAATTTTCTGTGCACTGGTTAGGGAGTAGCTTCTTTTGGCTCATTGGCTTTTTGCTCTTACTGTTACTGATATATGCTTCTCCTTTTTTTCTTGCTGTTTATAACTCAGCTTTATTTTGTTTAATCATTTTTTTTTCTCTATTTATATTTATAAGGTTCTCTTCATTTTCAGATTCTATTTTTACATCATTTTGTACATTTTCTACCCAGATCTCCATATCCGCTTCTGTATCATTTCCAGTCCAAACTCAATATCTTTAAAATCGATAAAATTTTTTGAGTCATTCATAGGTAGAACTTCGTCGACAGCATTATTGAAAGTAAGGTCTTCATTCTGTTCATTAACAAAAAAGACTTCAGCATTATTATTACCAAGCAAATTATTTGATTCCACTGTATTAACTTCATGTGTGTTAACCTCAGCATTACTTTTATTTTGTCCTACAACAAGAAAATCAAGAAACAATTCGAAAAAATATTATTCCATTTGTTATGATACAAAATAAAACTCTTACTGGCCTTCATTATTTTGAGAATTGGTAGCTAATGCTACACTTCTCTTTCCTCTTGATTTCCAATTCATCTTTAATAATCACTTTAAATGTTAAAATAATAATTAATAAGTTAAACATAGAATTAAAAACAGTTTTTACAAACTACTATATACACGCACAAGCGACAGAGTGTAAAAAACTAAAATTGTAACCTGCACGGGACTATCATACATCTGAGACGCATGGTATACAGACATGATTGATAAAATGTATCGCACTTACAACCATTTACTTGTCACAATCTACAACTCATGTGGCTTACAATAAATAAAACCGTTAAATTACTAATTATTGCAGCCATATTTTGGTTACATTTTTTCCAATTAAAAGAAGAATCACAACAAGTTTATTTGATGTTTTAACCTGTTTTAGGCAAATTGTGGCTTACACTTTTTACCTTTCAACCATCGATATAATTCAAAAAAATTAAGTGGGTAACTAATACAAGTATTTCTTTTGACACTGACACTATTTCGTGTTTATGTTTATATGAACTTTTATGTATTCAACTTTGAGCTATGAAACAAAAAATTAAGAATATATTGAATTACAAGTATTACAAACATAGTTTTAGGTAATGTCGCATATTTTGTTCTTCTACTTGCAGCACAGATAAAGTAACATTTGCAGCTTCATTGTTAACTGCTACTCTAAATAACAAGTCACCTTCTAGTTTCTTGTACCAAGTTGAAATTTTAATTACTGATAAACACAATTATTCAAGTTGGTTTACAATATCTCTCCCTTTTTTGCATTATTGTATTGAACTACTGAGTAGGTTTCATTTTAATTCCCATTCTATTTGTTATACATTTCATCATTTCTTATCCATGACAAGTGCAGACCATCCTATGGATATAATTATAGTGTTAATAATATTTTGGTTAATGTTTGGGGAATTCTGGAAACTCTGCTTACAATGGTTGCCGCATTCACTAATAATGTAAAAATGTAGCAATATGCATTTTAGAAAGGATCAAACAGATTTTTTGCTTTATTCTGCCTTTTGGGCATTGCATTAGATGCTTAACTTCACAGTATATTTCATGTTAATAAAAGGCAGGTACATATTTGTTTAAAGAAGTTGAATGTTCATTATAAAAAATATATTGGTTAATTGAGGGAAAGTCTGGGCTATCCACAAATAATAAATTAATGATATACAAACAAATATTGAGAACAGTATATACTTAAATAGGGGTGGCAACCTTGAGGCTCTACCAAACCAGTTATATTTAAATAATTTAGAGATTCCAGAAGCAAGCCCTCCTGGAAGGTAGTTGGGACTGGAACTGGATGCTAATATCAGCAACTGAACCCTCTTTTATAACACCCAGTTGTGTAAAAGTGGCAAGGTATGATTTTCACTCTACATTAGTAACCATGGATTGCAACAGACTAGTAAGATTTTCTCCACCACTTTTCGGACAACCCTCCACTTCTATTGGCAGCATTCTTGCTTTGGCAGGACTAATTTTTGTATCTTGGACTCCAGCACTTTTCTTTTAATTGAAGTAATGTTTCCCATAGATACATTTTGATAGTCAGTTTTTTCATGGTCTTTTGTTACCACATAGAAAATGTAATGTGATGCGTTTTGTAGTTTCAAAGCTTTTTCGTGAGCTGGTAGTTGGTATTGCAGTTTTGTAACTTTACCAAACTTCTTTTGAAATATGGATGCCAATCCTGATGCATCTTTAACACTGACTGAAAAGGTGTGGGCCAGTTAGGAGTCATCTGGAAGTGTGAGTAGATCACGAGTTTATTCATCAGTACCACGATGTCTTGCTTTACTGGTACCTCCACATGCCCCATGAGTTCTTAGGTAAGGTGCTTCTGGAACTTAGTTTACTTCCTCTTCTTCATCTATGTTGGGGTCTACTTCGAATGGTGCCAGACAGTTATGGTGTACTATCATCAGTTTTCCCCTCAGAATATTGCTTATTCGGTAGTTCACATTCTTGAATTTGTTGGTTGTGGGATGAAACACTCTCACATTATAATAGTAGAAAAGAGTCATATTCATGCCATCAACATAAAATCCTGTGTTTCTGGTAACCCTGTCATATGCCTTCTCAAGATTAATAGATATTATGTGCAAGTCTTTCTATTTCAGTCTAAAATTTTCTATTAGCGGTCTTATAATAAAAGTTGTTGTTTTGGGCCTGCCTTGCCTAAATCAAAATTGACGTTAATCCACTGTTATTTTTGGGACACTACATTCTGTTGGCTATTTTGGTGCAATGGTGAAGGTAAAACCACTCTAAACCTAGCCTTAAAATTCAGTA